GAAACAACATTAAACATGTTTCATCAAACCAGCAGAGCCAGAGTCGTACTGAAACAACCTTAAACATGTTTCGTCAAACCAGCAGAGACAGAGTCGTACTGAAACTACATTAAAAATGTCTCATCAAACTAGCAGAGCCAGAGTCGTACTGAAACAACATTAAACATGTTTCATCGAACCAGCAGAGCCAGAGTCGTACTGAAACAACATTAAAAATGTCTTATCAAACTAGCAGAGCCAGGGTCGTACTGAAACAACTGTAAACATGATTAATCAAACTAACTGATCCAGGGTGGTACTGAAACTACAGTAAACATGATTAATCAAACTAACTGATCCAGGGTGGTACTGAAACTACAGTAAACATGATTAATCAAACTCGCTGAGCCAGGGTCGTACTGAAACAACAGTAAACCTGATTTCATCAAACTAGCTGAGCCAGGGTCGTACTGAAACAACATTAAACATGTTTCATCGAACCAGCAGAGCCAGGGTCGTACTGAAACAACATTAAACATGTTTCATCAAACTAACTGATCCAGGGTGGTACTGAAACTACAGTAAACATGATTAATCAAACTCGCTGAGCCAGGGTCGTACTGAAACAATAGTAAACCTGATTTCATCAAACTAGCTGAGCCAGGGTCGTACTGAAATAATATTAAACATGTTTCATCAAACCAGCAAAGCCAGGGTGGTACTGAAACAACAGTAAACATGATTAATCAAACTCGCTGAGCCAGGGTCGTACTGAAACAACAGTAAACATGATTCATCAAACTAACTAAGGACGGACGTAAAAACTTACATTAGAAAGATATCATTACTTGGTTGGTAAGCTATGAAAGATGTGAATACCTAAGTAAACGTAATAACTACAATGGTTGAGTACACTATCCTAAAACGATTTTGGAGCCTCACCATGTCGTTACAGTCCATGTCGCCACGTCCATGCTCTATCTGACGACTATTGTTCTTAATAATAGCCCTACAACATAGTTTCCATTGCAAAAGGCTTTATCGTAAGGCTATCATGTCCAAAGCACACGACTCCTCCCTGCTGGCTTTTCATAATCAATTTAGTGTACAAGGACGACGAGTTCCAAGCGCTCGTTTCAACAGTCTAATCACACAGGAATCCATAGGTGCTGCATCTGGCAACTTGGCCGGCATCTCTTGACAGGAAAGAGCATCAGTTCCCGTTTCTTTTTCCAGGCTGCTTGAGATATGCGACGGTTTAACAGATAGGTTATAGAAACAAACTGTGTACACGTGACTTATGTCGCTTTTCATTATGTTGTCTACTGTTGCCTGGGGAACAATTGACCTTTGTGTTCGTGGATTGCTCCACCTGTTACAAAACACTACATTCTGCTTAGCTCGGCTGGGATACGATCTGTTGCAGGTATCTTTCTAGATGACCCTCATGCCCAAATCTATCTATTCTCCTTTTTTTTTCCAATCCCATTAGGTTCAACGGATATCCCCGATTTGGAAATTCTAAATCCTCGATCTGAACACATGTTTTTGACCTGAAGGCACAAATATTTTGCGTCAGAAAGGGTTGTTATGTAAAACAGTCAGTTTTCGGTGGCAACACGTTACCTAGGTAATGCCAAACAATGTCAGAATGTAGTTCTGATACATTCCGTTCCACGGCAGCTTTATATCGGCTGTGGTTGTCACATGACTGTTCAAAATCGTTTTAATATAAAGTACTCAAACATCTGTATTTCATAAGAGTTCCGTTGATGACGTGACCTTGAACCTATTGACAGGAGAGACCATAAACGTTTCTCTGAATCCAATGTTGATCTTACGTGTAGCCCAAGTTTGGTGTTCAACCACTGGACATTACCTTTAACCCGTGTGTAATATCGAAAGAAATTGGAAGTAACTCATAATGCAGACACTAGCCTTAATGCGATTCATTTGTTAAAACTACTACACTGCCCTTAACCCTAATGTATTGTTGAACACGTGAATGTTAACCTTAACGTAATTTTACTGTTGAATTCATAGACATTAACTTAGTTCCAGGGTTACCTCCGAGCATATATGCCCTTACTTTAAACGTGGTTATACTGTTTCAACAAGTAGACGGTAACATTAGTGTACCATTAATGTTTAAAATGGTTAGTAATCTTAACAGAAACACATATATATTGTTAACAAAGTGGACACTAAGCCTAACCTTGTATTGATACCAACCTCAAATGAGAAGTACTTTTAAAAAGGACATCAATCTTAATAGAAACATATCTATCGTTAAACAAGGCGGATACTAAACATAATCCATATGTATTGTCGAACATAAGAACACGAACTTTAATTTAAGTGTGTCACTAAGAAACTGAGCACTAGCCTGCATGTGCTAACTAGTGTTGAATAGCAAATTAACTTTAGCTTTATTAGTACTGTGTAACAAGTAGACACTGATTTTAACTCAACTGTACGGTTCACCATGTGGACATTAACCTTAACCCACGTGTATGTGCTGTTGAACATCTGGACACTAATAACCCATGAACAAGCTGAACCCAAGCGTTTAACAAGAGGACACTAACCTTATCTCAAGAGCACTGTTAATTATGTGAACACTAATTTTAACACGGGTGTTCTGTTCAATACATCAACGCTAACCTTAGCCCGAATATTTTGTTTAGCAATTAAACACTAACCTTAACCCGAGTGTTTGTTGAATACGTTGGAATAATCCTTAGATGAGTGCTAATTCTTTACCCCATGTGAATGGGTTTTATCGTTAGAATAAAGCAGTGAAGAATAAGCTGGAAACTTCACTGTTGAGTCAAAAATGACTGTTCAGAAGTTTGAAATATTCATATTTATGGCTGGAATTGACAGAACGTGAAAGAAATGTTTGTTTTTTTTATTTCTATTCCACCAATCCAAA